TCGTCTTTCCTCCTATAATTAACGATCTTTACCTCTAAACAACGACGATTTTCTTTAAAAACCGTCATCTTTATTGATAAACAACGACGGTGAAAAGCCGTCGTAGTTTGAAACCCAAATAGACAGTAGTAGATTTCACGACCGGGCGAAAACCTTTTACACGACGGTGGTTTCCCATCGTCTATTTCGATTTTTGTAGTAGTGAATACAAGTTAACAGCAACCTTCGCATCCTCATTGTGGAGTTTTTTAGGCATAAAATTTATCATATCTCAATCATGCATCGCTTTCTTATATTTAATATCATATAATCTGGCTTTTAGCACCTGTCTAACATATCAGACTCCTTGGGGTTTGTGGCACCTGTCTAACATGGCCACAAACCTCAAGGAGGAGAAGAATAGCCACACAAAAACCAACGACCTTATTGTGCCTTTGAGGAATATTGAGAAATGAAAGTTAGTGTGCTTTTATTTGGGCACATAAGAACAATAGAAAATCTGATTGTTCACCATATTAGGCCCAAGAAAAAGATTAAGATTTTACAATAACCTATGGCCTTATGTACAAGGGTCGAAAGTTTTTAGTTCACAGGTGCTACGAACACTACTTGGCTCCTTACTAGCAAATAGTCATTCCTCATTGGCCTATGGAAGTTCAGCCCATACAAAAAGACAAAACAAAAAAATTGGCTCGCCAAAGGTTCAACAAGACCAATATATGCACACACGTCAAATCTTACAAGGGACAACAAGACCAATGTATGGAGGAATGATTCCTTACCTATAAGGAGCCTTTTTTGGGGGGTATTTTCCATGTACTACAATTCTTATGCAGTAAACAATCTGACAGTGTTGTTTCAAAGTTAGTGGCAGTGGAATACTTGCAGCAATCTCGATTGACAAGTAGCTTATATAATTATGCAGAAGCAAAATTATTTTTAATAGTTAAAACTTCTACATACAGAGACAATCGGAATCCATGATATGCAAAGAAAAAACTGACACGCACAAGTTTTTTATTTTCGGTTCATACACGCACAAATTTTATTATTAATCTGTCATAGTCATTATCCTCTTTCCAAGAGCACTCTCCACTCTCCACTATTCATATTTCAATTGATTTTTGCTGTTTTCAAGCTCCATGCACTTCCTGTGATTTTGACATCCTCAGTTCCATAATTGAAAGCATACAAGTGGGCATCGCCATTAATGGCCAGTGTGGGATAAACTCTAGCTGTTATGCACGCCTTGCCTTCTCCACCAAAGCTCTCCACTATAGAGTGATCTATCTGCATCAGATGCAAAAATTTCAAACGCGTTAGGACAAAAATTTATTATCATGAAATAGGCAAAAGAAAAAAGATGAAGGGAAAAAGTATACGCATATGCATAAGGAAGAGAAGGAACGATGGCATAAAGTTGGTCTAGTGGTGCATGGAATGCTAAGTGTAAAATGTGCAACCATCATGAGTCATTCATATAAAAAAACTGTGGAGTTTGCGGCCAAAAAAAGAATGTGTGCACCTTGTATGTATGCTAAACTCTTATCAGAAAGAGGAGTACTAAACATCTTGGTAGTGGTCTGTTTGTGGTGGAAGCTGATGCTTTGTCGGTTATTCAGGCTGTTTTGGGCCCGAGGGATGATCAGTCCCATGTGGGTATGCTGATTGATGATTCTCGATTCTCGATTAAGGAGTTGTCTTTTGCTTCTATTTGTTTTGTTCCTAGAGAAGCCAACAAGTGGCCCATGGGCTTGCTGGTTTTGTAGTCTCCCCGGCTAATACTTCCTCTTGGGTTTGGGATGCTCCTGGACTCATTCAGGATGTGTTAATCGAGGACTTTTGTAACTTGTTTTTTCTCTTCTGTTTCTCTCAAAAAAAAAAAAAAAAGAGTGCTCACACATATGTGATTTCTAGCCGAAGATGCTTGTGAATCTTACAATATTGAGTCCACATGCATCAATAGTCATGAATTAGTCATGTGTCCATGCTGGGCACGATTGACTGTAGCATTTCTCTATTAGAAATATAAAAGATGAAAAGGAAAGGAGTTCTGAATTTTTTATCTCATTAGGTGGCCATAGCACTTGGATGGTAGTATCCACAAGGAATCTTCTGAAACAAGCATATGTAATCATGGAAAGTGACTGTCAAGTGCATGTATGATGAACCCCTTTTACCAGAAAATGCAGCAGTGTCTGTCAAAATGTTAGAAGATGCTTTGTACTTTTTTTAAGGAAAACATAGATTCTCAAATGTTTGATGGCGATTTCTGGTCGCCAAGAGATTCTTAAACTGAAAAGAAATTTCCCACCAACGCAGTGCATGGAGGTCATGATCACATACATAGGCAGACTGACTTTTCAATAAAGAGTACATAAGCTGATATATATTTAATTGGTTTGCAGTAACTTACCAAGCTTCTTAGGGAGAGCTTCTCATGAAGAGGATCCACGTTTACAAAAGCCCCATAAGTGGTCTTATCATTATCTTTCTTTAAGGAAGACCTACCAAACAAACAAATATACCGAGTTAAGAGTTTGAAGTTTGGTTGAGAGAGAGAGAGAGAGAGAGAGAGAGAGAGACCTGCTTTGGTCACTGCACAGGAGCACCACATGTTTGTTGTGATCTATGAATATTCTATAGAAAACTGATGTATATTCTTTCAAGCCCTTTGAAGCCAATACGAGTAACCCGAATGGTCCTAAACCACCTTTAACTGAGGCACCCTTTTGGCTACACAAAAGCTGTGGGTTTGTCCAACTTGGGTCCAGCACTTCTGCTTTCTTAAGATCACTTATTCCAAAAGTAATCTCTACATCTGCCTGTAAAACAAATGCCAAAACAAAATTTAAGGATACCAAATTAGAAAAAGTAATTTCAGTGTAATGGGTTAGGAAAATGAGTAAAATATAGTACCAAGAACAGAGTGATTTAGTGGGGTTGGTGTGCTTTTATGTACACGTGGCAAAATGCCATTACCGAATTGAAATTTTTTTTAATAAATAAAAAAGTTCCCACACCTGTGCTGCTGTGACACCAAGTACTTCATGCACTGATCCTCCCTTAAGTACACTGCTTGGCAACTTGACCTCTTTTTCACGTAGCTTTTCAATCTCTACTGCTGGCCATTGTACCAATTGTTTCCCAGACTTATCAAGCCAAAGGGTCCTTGGAATTGCCTGCAGAAGTTCATTCAAATAGTATTGAGTGATGACCTAATTGGGTAGTTAGGAGGACTTACGCTTGCCAAATTGTGAATCTGAATCATTGATCATTTTAAAACTGTACGATCTAAATTCGCATAAATATTTGTCTGGAAAAATAATATTACCATGCATGCGTATAAAGCTATTTATTTAATTCTGTACCTGAAGTCCAGACCATCCCTTCTTGATATCATCCTCCACAGTTGAAGATTCATTAATCCAACCCCACAGTATTCTACGGTTCTTAGAACTGTCAAAGAAAGTTTTTGAAGCATAAAATTTTCCATAATCATATCTCAAGCCTGAGTCACTCTCCACTGAGCCCTTATCCGGGATATAGATATCCTTGTCGATGTTATATGTCCCAATTGTGTAGTACTCTCGCCTAGTGTTGTCTAAGCTCACCTTGAACACATGCTTAACATCAGGACCAATTTTTGATGTGTCAAGACCATTTTGGCTATGAATTGAAACTGGGAAAAAATCAGGGCATTCCCACATTCCAGTTTTCTCTGCTGAGTGAAGTGGTTGTTTGGCCTTAACCCAATTAAGGAAATCTTTGCTCCTATATAGGATAGCTTCTCCTGTTTGGTTCGTTTTGCCTCCAATGATCACTCTCCATTTCTTATCTGGGCCTAGCCAAGCAGTGGTTGGGTCCCTAAATGAGCTTGCATTGATTTGGTTAGCTTGGCTGGGTGCCATTAGTGGATTTTGTGGGATCTTGGTCCACTCCCTAAGGAATGGGTCCGAGAGGTTCTTGGGGTAGGCCAAATTCTGAACTTGGCGATTTTGGGAGTCTATTCCTGTGTATAACATCACCGGTTTGCCCCCAGGGAGGATCGTGGCGGAACCCGACCAACAGCCGTTGATGTCTGACGGCTGTGATGGGTAGATAGCAGCATCATGTGGGGTCCAGTTAACAAGATCAGTTGATGTGGAATGGGCCCAGACAATGTTTCCCCAAACTACATCTAAGGGGTTGTATTGATAGAAGAAATGATAAATTCCCTTGTAAATCAGTGGTCCTGCAACAAGAAGAATACAAGGCTTTCTTAGTACCATTGAAATTAGACAGTACCCAAGCCAACAATGCATCATGAAATGAAACAGAACAAGAGGAGAAACAAACTAACCATTAGGATCTGTGCAACCAAACAAACCCATTTGTTCGTTCCACAATTAGAACAAGTCAATGACAAACACAAGAAGCAGAAAAAAGGAGCTGTTAGAACTAAGGAAAAGTGAAAGAAACTTTTTTATATGAAAAAAAAATGAAATGAAAAAATGAGAAGGAAGATTAAAGAGGTCATATATAAGGGAAGATATACCATTGATCCAATTCTTGGGAGGCTGGAAATGATAACCAGTTCTGTAAGGTTCATTAACTGGGTGATGATGTGAAGAAGTTAACTGGGAATAAGTTGGAAGGTTTCTGTAAACTTGGTGGGAAGCTTCAAGCTGATGAACAGCATGGCCTAGCCAAAGAGAAAGAAAGCAGTATAGCAAGGGAGAGGAGATGGCCATGGTGGCTTTGCAGTGACAAAATAAGGCAACACCATGCGGGGTATTTATAGGAGAAGTCATGTTGTATTTGCCAAGAAAGGCTTAGATCTTCATTTTTTTCTTTTACTTTTTTTTTTTTTTTTGGTGGAGTCAACATTGAGATTTGAATATTTAGATGTGAAAAAGAATAAAAAGTCATTACTGGTCCCAAAAAAAACAAGAACGAACAAAAGGTCATTACAGCATGATGTTTCACAAGATGTCCAAGTAAAAAGTATTCATATCATAAGAAATCAAACTCTCTTTAGAGTGTTATACTTGTTATTTAACGATAATGCAAGGGACACTAATTTTATTTATTTATTTTAGGAAAATAATTAAAAAAACATAAAACTTAATTTTATAAACTTCACAGAGTTTTAATGACGTTTATATACTTTATTATAGACTTTCATAAACTTTTGCATAGAGTTTACAGGGTTTTATATACGTTTTTTTTTTATAAAATAAAAAAAGACAATATTATTAATTAATTGGCACTAGAATGACTATTGTTATTAAGTCATTCTCAATAACCATAGGTCAGATGCCAAATCAAAATTGTGTTGCGCAACCCCCTCCCTCGATTTGTTTTCTTCTACCCTTTCGGCTCTTCTTTGAAATTTCCTTTATGACCAAAAAAAGAAAAAGAAAAGAAGAAGCATAAATCAATGAAAATCCACACCAATCAAGAGAGGAACATGAATTAAAGCAATGAAAAATACATAACGTATTTACGTATTCGTGAATCGTGACATAGGAAGGAGGTAGGACTGTAGCTTGGGAGCTGTGTTGCTTGAGTAGAGCCTTGTATTTGTATATTTATCAATCATGTAGTCAACAGAACTAAATCCTAGCCCCTCTCTCTCTCTGAGTTCTAAAGGAAAATACCATAGAGGGAAAGGAGGAAAAAGCATCACTGCCCCTCCTCCCCCTTCTCTCTTCCCGTCTTTTCTTTTTAGGTTAGTGAATAAGTCCACTGGGGCGTTTTGAATATAAAAAAAACCCTTTTGTGGTGTGGTTTCTTCTAAGCCATGGTTCGATTGAAGCTCCCTATCACCCGTTTTAGTCTACGTTCTCAATCAAATCCTATTCCCAAAACTCGCTCCTTAATGCCACTCATGTTCTCTAAATTTGATTTTACGTCGTCTTTAACGGAGGTTGCTACAAACCACCCAATTGTTCTTTGGCAAAGTTATTTTTTTCATTTATTAAAACCCTGAACCCTTAAATTTCCCTAACTGATTATGTGAGCTTTAAGTGACTTTTTTATTCTAATTAACCTATGGATCGATAATTTGACTAGCTACATGTAAGTTTTTTTTTTTTTTTTTGGGACAAAACTAATCACACGTATTTTGTTCCAGTCACAAGTACCTATCGCACATGTTACTTATATTGTTGTTAACATCTAATTAGATGTTCTGGGTCTGCTTAATTATCTTAGAATAGAAGAAATATGGCTGATGAGCTTAGATTCTTACAACACAAACAAACACTTCACAAACATCATCCCTTAATTTCATTAATTAAACAGTTGTGTTGTCCTCTATATTATATTAATTAACAGCTTCGTGTGATGCACGTGATAAGTACATAAAATGCAATCTAAAAATAATATATTTTCAAGTTTTGTCATATATATACCTAGAACTAGTCTCTTGCTTTTCATGTGGTTTTTTTTCTTTTCTTATCTATATTAAATTGTTGAAGAGAATTTTTGCTGGGTGTTGGATTCTTTTGTATGTCATGTTCTCGAGTAACACCAACACTCCTATTCCCACTTATTGGCCCACCTTACTTTCTCTTGCCCGACACCAAACTTTGAAAATTACTCTTCTATTTGTTTCACCCCTATTATTCCCAATTTACCCTTATTGTTTCACCTCCTTGCACCTGTATAGGTCCGCCACCGACCGTAGTCATGTGAAAAAGAAGAAGAAATAGATCAGCAACCATCATTAGTACCTCCCGATATTAGACCGATTTTCGTTATCTTCAATTGAACCATCCATCTCGCATGGGACCCTCCCGATATTATTGGAGATATTCTAGTTGAAGAAATTTTGTAATCTTTCTTTGGATTAAAACATCGACTTTCTTTTTAAAAAAAATTACAATATCTTTATGTTTAACTTGTTGAGAATATTTACACATGATTCACACTCATTCACTAATTTATGTTTTAAACATCATTCCAACAAAAGAAGCTCGAAAATTGATTAAAAAAAGAAAAGTTAGAGACTAAAGTGTTTTTTCAAAGTTGGGGAAATCAAAGCAAGAATATAAAGTAGTAGTGAAAAGTGAGTTTGAAAAGGAAGTTTGAAGGCATAAGGCTAAACAGAATTATTGTATTAATAAAAAGAAATGAAAAGGACTAAACATGTTACTTACTCTTGGCTCATTCTCTCACATATTTCCTTTCCTCCCTTTCACTTGGGTCCCTCACAACAATTTATCTCTCCCCACGTTTATGTTTTCCCTTAACCAAGGTCTAAAATATTTAAGGTATCGAAAATATCGATAGTCTAAAAATATGGAAATTTCGATGGAATATCGGGATATTATCGATATCAATAAAATTTGAATAAAAATCAAGGAAATTATAAGAAAAAATTAGAAATTTTTATTAAAACTTTGGAGGATGTTTATTTAATCAATTATCTATTAGTTTTTCCTTAATTTTTAAAAAATAAATAGTAACGTCGCACAGCTATACTTGGTTTTTTTAATTTTTTAAAAGAATAGTATAGCCGTATGTATTATTGGAAATTGTGTAAAAAAATACGTGTAAAAAGGATAGTATAGCTATACTCGGCTTTTTAATTTTTGTTTTAACAAAATAGTTACGCCGCGCGGCTATGCTTGGTTTTTATTTTTTAAAGGAAATAGTATAGCCGCGCGGCTACACTCTGGTTTTCTGTTAAAAAAATGGTATAGCAGCGCGGCTATACTCGTGTTTTCCATTAAAAAAAAAAGAAATAGTACAGCCGGTCGGCTATATTCGGTTTTTAGCATTTAAAAAAAAAGAAATAGTATAGCCGACCGGCTATACCCCCTTTTTTTAAATTTTTTTAAAGAATTAATATAACAGCACGGCTATACCCGGTTTTTTAAATTTTTTAAAAAGAAATAGTGTAGCCACACCGCTACACTCAATTTTTCCCCTAATTAGAAGCAGTATAGTCGTACGGCTATACGCTGTTTTTTTAAATTAAAAAAAAAAGTATAGCCGTATGTATTTTTCATGTCGAATACACATATTTTTTTACAAAATTTCCAATAATACACACAAAATTCACATATTATACACATAATTATCACATATTATTGAATACAAATAATATATATTAAAAAAAATTAAAAAAATTAAATTAAAATATTATATAGTGGCCGAACTTTTAAGTTGTAATTTGCCGAAATTTTGCCAAATAAAACACGTATGTATTTTAATTGTATAGCCACGCTGCTATACCAAATTAACATCTATAAAGTATAAACTAATGCAACTAGGAGAGTCTTTTTTTCATTATTGTTTTTTTAAAAAAGAATAGTATAGCCGAGCGGCTATACGCTTTAAATATCGAATGGGTGCTTTTTTTTTTCTTCTTCTTTTTAAATATTTTTTCTCCCTGATTTTTATTTATCGATAAGACTAGTCTAGAGTATTATCCATTACGTTTAGGCCATTACCAAGGGTATGGCTATTGTCCCCTTTTGATTTTTTTACTTTTCCAGAGTTATTACATGTCTAAAGAATTTAGCATTTACCATTTAATACTCGTATTATGCACGTACTTATGTATTTTTCAATAATACTTTTGTTTTTCATATACGTCTTAAAGACTCGGTATAATAAAAGTAAACATATAATACAAGTATTGTACTCATATGCGCGTATTTTAATTATTATTTAATATTAAAGAACCAAAAAAAAAAAGTCCACAAAATAATTTAAAAAATTAATTACTATTTAACAAGTAATTTATGAAATTAGTAAAATATTTAAATATTCACTAAAGAAATAATAATTAAAGTAATTAAAAAAGTCTAAGGTATTACTTAATTATATATATATATATATTAAATTAAAGAAATTGGCCAAAAAACAAAAGTAAAGAAATTAATTTTATAAATTAAAAAATTATTAAAAAAAATCAAAACAACCTCTCCTGACGAAATTGTGTTGGCACAGGTCTGTGCCAGCAATATTTGCCGGATTAGACCTCATCCGATGAAATTTCGTCAGGAGAAATCTTATCCGGCAAACCTTTGCAAGCATAGACCTTTGGAGACGAAATTTCATTGGGAGAGTTTGTTTTTGAAAAAATACATATAAACTTAGTATCTTTAGGTCTAAAAAAATTTTAAAAAATTTTTCTTTTCAGTCATTAAGTAATATCTTAGCCTGATTTAATTACTTTAATTAGGTCTAACTATTATTTCTTCGGTGAATATTTAATATTTAATATTTCAATTAACATCATGAATGATATTACTTGATAAATAGTATTTAGTTTTTAAAATTTTAAATTTAATACAATTCTTAAATACTAATTATTCACTAAGTAAACAATAATAAAAACATAAGTAATACTTAAAGTAGTTTAAAAAAAAATTCAGATCACATAGAGTATAGCCGCGCGGCTGTACTTCCAAAATATTGTAGAGTGTAGCCGCTCGGCTGTTCGTTTTCTGAAGAATTGATTGCGTCCTTTTTGGTGAAGAAACGGGGCTAACGCCCAACAAAGAAATTAAACAATGGCTTAAGGCCTACAGACTCCAAGTAAATCTTCACTAAGAGAGGGCCTAATACTGTCATGGGGGTCATGGAAGGTTGACAGACCCAACTCAAGGCATGAACCCAATTCAGCTAGTTTATGCATGTATGTCCCAAACAACATCTGCAGTTGCACTCTGGTTGGTGAGATTGGATGCCTTAATTGCTCCATACTTGGAAAGAGCCCATTCTCAGAAAAGGCTGGAAATTAGTGTCAGAGGTAATGATTGAATATA